ATTGCAAAAATATTCAGCATTATAATTCAGTTTCCTGGAACCTGAGTTTATAGTCATCTCTAGTTCCCATTTTTTGTGTCTACTAACCAAATCCCCCCCTCCTTACTTGAAAGGCAAATCTCAATCTGTAAACAGTTCTGCCCAGGTGTTCTACTGTATTTACTATCCCACTAAATTTCATGATCATTTTTTTCACTTTCACATTCTTCAGAGAGAATGCCCCCCTGACTGCTGCCAATAGTTTTTTGGAAATTTACTTAAAGCAAATGTTTCTCAATGACCTGTTGAAAAATAAAACTCAACATGTATATAACAGTAAAATTAATGTACTGTTAACGGTTCCTAGCAGCTCACTGCTAAGTCGTGCCCTTTTAAAATGTTGCTTAGTTTATAATCTCCAGATTTCAAGGGTTGAGTATTTTCTTTAGCGTGCACAAGGTATGGATGCACTTGAGTATCAACAGGAAACTCTGAATCCTGGAGAAAAAAATAAAATTATTAATTCTCAGAAGTGCTGTGTAAGTTCATGCCATGTACTACTTATTATGTTACTATTTTGAAAACACCATTTTGTCTTATTTTTCCACTCTACTTTTCTCCTCTGTTCAACTTTCATCAATTTTTTAAATCAATGTTGTCCTGATTTTATTCATTTTGATATATATTGTTAAAGCTGAGTGCAGGCATACCTGGAAGACTGAGGTCTGTAGTGAACAACTAAATACTGTAAGATTTATTAATTTGTTCTTTTAAATTTATATTCCTATGAGTTAACTTCTGGACAGTTTATCAATATCTAGAAAGAGATCAGCTAACACTACTAATCATTATCTGCAACCAAACATGAATTCACCATTTATACTGGCAAACCCCTTCTTCCCCCAAAACAGAAAAAAACAAAAACCACCTACTTATGTAGTTCAACATAACAGCAATGGGAAAGAATTAACTGTACACTGTGGACATGGTGAGATATAGTAAAAAAGCCAAATAAATTTTTGCTGTCGTTTATACTCATAACAAAGTTAGTGTAACGATGTGGGTGTAAGCGAGAAAAACTTGGCCTGATACTTTTATTGTTAATGTAATTTATGTTCCTGCTACTGGAAGAAGATACGGTGTTTAAAAAGGAAGGCTGTAAAATTGTTAGTATAAAATCCTCTGTATTAAATTCAGGACAATCTGTGGTTTTAGTAAGTATTTTAAGGAAGACAGTCAAAATTCAGGTAAATGAATTATTTTTCCTTAAACAAAGAAGAAATGTTTTACAATTGTTTAACAGTAAGTTTCAAACTACCAGTTTAAGCCACAGTGATCTACCCTGCACCAGACTGCCTCATGATTAAAAAAGTTAACTTCTAGAAACTTTTCAATTTCATCAACTGGCAGCCTGAAAACTCCTCAATTTGGAATGAAACAACTACTCTCATTGTCCAAATTGCTCCATTTATATTTTATTTCCTTCTCTTTATTTTTCTTTTGCATACCTCCCATACTGATGGTTAAAAGAATAAAGTTCAGTCCTACTGTCAAGCTCAGCACAGCACAATCTGTGGCGTAATCACTGATTTGTCAGCTAAATGAAACAGTTTCCACTATCACTGTAAATGGAAAAATCATACAAACACAAAGAGAGGAGGGCTGCAATACACATATAAACAATACAATGCAATGGAGAGCAGCTACAGGTAAATAACCTTTTCTGTCCTTTGACTTCACGTATATATGTAGATCCTGATTGTGAGTAACTCCAGGCAGCGTTTCCCAAAGATCACCATTACTTGGATAAGAAGATCCTTTTCTCTACCTGAATAAAGACTGAAGGACCAGTTTCACACATGCCGCGTGATCCCAAATAAAATTCATCAATGTGGTAACACCTGTTGAAGAGGGAACTGGAACTCCAAGCTGCAGTTCACAGGAAACATTTTCCACATCAGCTGCTGATGCAGTTCAACAGAGTTGACTACACCAGCTGTCAGTTCCAGATTTGCAGCCCTTCAGCAGCCTCTCCAAAGCAGCAACCCAGGGAGACAGCATCTGCCTTGAATCTGCGCCTCTAAAATTCAGGTACAGACCTGAGGCAAAGTCCTTTCCTCAAGGCACTTCTTTGCTCATCGTAAAAGGACAAAGACAGACCTAACATTCAGGAGGTCGCAGTCCTGGAAGTCTGTGGCTTCAAGAACAAACAGGAAAGTTAATTTTGTAATTCAGATGAAACTAGTTATACATTAGACATGAATTTAGAATGAAGTCTGAAGATAGGTTGTCCTATTCCACATAGATAGTTAAGAGTATGCTATACATATTTGTCTCATTTGGTAGAAGTGACAATCATCAAGAAAAATATAGTCATCTTCACACAACGGAAGGCGAAATCAGATGTTGATCGAAGTGGATTGCTCAGCAAAGCTTCACGGATAACATGCTTAAGATCCACTGCAGGAATGGATTCCTAAAAAAGTCCAAATCCTTCATATATATGTACTGATATATACAAAAATACTGAACACCAACAGAATACTAAGATACCCTGAGCTGCTAGCCCAGTTTTCTTCAGCTCCAGCAGTTAGCCTAGAGGGGTAAGAACTTCAGAATTATCGCTGGACTGTACCAGCTTAGAAGCAGAAAATCTGGTCCCCTGGACACAGCAGAGATGTTCTTGCTATGAATCAAGAACCTTACTGCTGAGATATACTGACTTGGCAATCAGCATGCGTGCCATCAGATAGAGGGGACTGATCCTCTTCTCAAACTGACCTCGAGTCAGACATGAGAAGACTTGAGTTTTCAGGCTCTTCACCAGAAAGAATACAGACTTCCTGGAGCCAGGACTGGCTTTGCCAGCGAAGGGGCAGAAGGGACTGCAGCATGAGAAGGACTCTGGATAGAAGGAAACACATACATCATCTTTCCCAAACAGGGAACTAGGAAATTATTCAGCATGGGCCCCAGAAATAAACTCCTAAATTAGAAAGAATAGCCCTTCAGAATGACATTCGAATCAAAGAAAAAGACTTCATACTACTTTCAAAAAGCTATTTGGACATCATCATAATGTGCACTTATCATTTACAATCGGCTTGAAATAGTTGTCCAGGATTTTAGGCAGGTAAATGGCATATACAATTGTATTCAAAACTCATAACATGACTTCAAAAAGATAAGCTCCACTGAAGAGAGTTGATATTACTTCTTGATACAGAACATATTTAGAGGTTTGGGGGTTTTTGTCAGTATCTGCATGTGAGGGTATTAACCACATTTGAGTGTCAAGTTACTATTAATGGTTAACCATGTGCTTTAAAATAAAAAAATGGATTCTCCAGACCAAAACAAAACCTTGCTACTATGGAACTGGGAGTCAGAGCTAAACTGACGAAATTAAATGCATGTATTTTTAGCATTGGACAGAGAGTAAGTCTCTGATCTATCGCAGGTCACTGTACAGTCCGATCAGAAGCAGATCAGAGTCTGCAGTCACAACTATACAGTCCACTTGGTCTCACAGCACAGCTGACATACCCCCAAAAGGGGATTACACAGGTATGATCAAGTAGTATTAAGTTGAGAATATCTGTGAGTTTGTGCTGTGTCTGTGCAGTCTGCTCCAGTGATATTCTTTGAAAGGCTGGAAAAAACTCTCTTGTAAATTCCAAGAGCGAATTACATTTGCTTAGCACAATGTAGCAGAATGTACCAGTTTAGGTGGGATTAACAATGATCTACTTTGACCTGAGACTTCAGAAGCTGAGGACAAGGACGAGAAAGCTTCCAGGTACACCAAGCAGTGAAGAGAAGCTGTATCACAACATGGGGCTGAATTGTAGAGAAAGAAGCTTCAATGGTTGCAAGAAGCCTCAAGGAAAAAAAATGGGTAAGATAAACAGCATACTGACATAAAACACTGGACTAGAACTGGAAATGAATGTTTATATCAGCCTCTCTCTGCGAGATTACTGGCATGGGCTTTTCTCTATTTTTTGTGAGCTCTACGACTTGCAGAGAGAGGAAGATCTTCTGTATTCTTAAAAAGGCTTTTCTTGCAAGTACAATGCTGATAAAAAGCCAAAATACAAATATATGTATAGTTAATCTTGCAGCCTCATTTTCAATCAGTGTGGTCTAAGATATTTTTCTAAGATTAGTCAGCAGACCGGGAGATTTATTACCAACTCTAATTAACCAAGCTAAATGGCTTTATTAAAAATAGATCGTCATTAAAGAATGTAAGGAGTGTAACTGTGCACAATATATTTTAAGGACTACAGAAGTCATTACAAAACCACTTATAAAGACTATACAGTTTTCTGAAGACTTAGCTGATCATTCACGTTTGCAACATTTTCAGAACATCCTGCTGTGAGAAGCTTTAAAGGAAAGACTGGAATTACCGTACTCTTCAAAATGCCCATCAACCACTAAGATTAAGAATGGAATAAAATCAATGCATTTTAATCTCAAAACGTACACACGCGGCAGGCAGAACCACTAACTTTTCTTTAGATTTGTTTTGCACTTAACTTGATGGTAGCCATTGTGTTAATTTGTAGGAATGAGCATAGAGCAAATTTCAGAACTACAGACCATCAAGGGAATATCATTTTCTCTCCCATTTCAGAAGCTCTCTACACTGCATGTTCTATAAGGATGCTATCAACCTGAGTCAAACCTTTTTAATTATGAAAATAATTAAGCTAACCTAATGATCAGCAAAAGTGCATCTATTAAAGACCCAAGACCTGAAAGATATTTTTCAGTGGACTGTGGCTTCAATCACATACATAGCCTAACAAAACCACTCCAAAATCTAGTTTTTAATTTATTTATTTTTTGGTACTTGATTTTAAAAAAAGTAAGACTGGGTCTGACAGAAGCTGTAGATGTTCACTGCTAACTTTTGTTTCATCTAAACCATATGTTTCCTCTTTGAAGCTAGGAAGCTACATACAGAGTTTTGTTTGCAGAAAAACTTCTCAATATTATTATCCCATGCAATTATTTTGTAAGATTTGATAGACATGCAATACTTTAGCTTCAAACTGCCTTAACGATGCTCAGAAATCACATTCCCAGAACACTGGAATCAATTTCCCTGGAACAGTAGGGACTTAGAATGGTGACTGACATAGGACATCAGTCTTACCTTTCTTCCCTGACCGGAGAGGAAGACAGAATCCAGGAATCATGAAGAGCAGATGATCAAAAACATCCTTCATGCTTTGTTGTTTCAACTCAGGTATTAGCAAGACACCTGTATCTTGTACTAAGGTGCTAACTAAACATCTCTGTATTGAACTAGCCATTTCACATAGATTAGCTGCTTGGCTAAATACAGTTTTCCACTTATGTGTACTTCAGGGTGTATTAAGAAGCAAAGAAAATCAACCTCAAATAAACGCCTAAATTCTTAAAATTCCATTTGAAACATGTGGAAGATAATTGTTAACAGAATTAAAAATCCTTCTTATCGCACACATAAGAAAGTTTTGGAGAGAAAGACTAACTACATGGGGAAAAAAACTAAACAAAATCAGAAACATTGAGAAATAGGAAATAAATATGTAAAGTACAAATAAGTAAAGATTAAAGTAATCTTGCATTGCTACTCGAGGAATGCATCATAATGTTTGCGGCTAAAGTTACACATTTTTGCAGAAATACATGTCAGATTCTGATTGTGTTTCAGCCATAATATTCCTGCAGACCTCTGAAGCCCGTTTCAGGAAAAATCCATACATTTTCCACATTTGGGAGTGATTAAAATGAGTCTGCAGTCTTGCATTTTTCAGTGGAAAAAAACAAATACTACTTCAGAAGATACTGCTGTAAATTATTGCTGTAAAATTCACAAATACAGTAAAAAGAGGATAACAAAAATCTAGTATTTCTATAATTTCTTACTGAATTTATGAAGTATTTCTGAAATTGGAGTTTTTACCTCCCTTGCTGTGATAATCCTTTATTTTACTAGAACTTGAGATTCAGCCTTAGATAATTCATATCTATTGTTCATACTTCAAGGTCTGAATGGCATGAACACTGGCATCACTTGTGATGGCCAGTTGAAATGTTGATTTCCATAGCTCCCCAGTACACACCAGGTGGAAGCCACAGTTTAAACATATCAAGTCTGTTGCTGAGTTGATCCTCTGCTCAAGAAAGGTACCAAGGAGTTTAGAAGCAACACCAGCTTAAGGTATTCTCTCACAGTATTTCCCAAACATGTAATTATGGTATTGATTTATCAAAGCTTCATCGGAACTTCAATTTATGTGAGGCATAGCTCAGTATGTAGGTTCTGAGCTGCTCAAAAGGAACATAAACAAGCTGCCTATGAAATTACAAAGGTCAATATGGATTTTTTTTTCCCCCAGATACAAATCTTCAGCACTGTGAAATAAATGTGGTATCTTTATCCTAAAATCTTCCTACAACAAAAAGGCTCAAGAATGGCAATATAAAAGATAGCTCTCCTCCCCCAAGAAGTTTTAGCAATGAAGTGTCATTATTTAATCCTTATTCTATTATTTTCAATTGCTAAATCCTAAGGTAACAGAGAATTCATTACACAAGTTGAGACTTTGCATAACAAGGCTTTGTGAAACATATTTATTACAAACATTGATTGCAAAGACTGACACTACTTCAGCATAAGGCAAGGGGAACGGGCATGCCAAAATCCAAGAAATGCATGTCTTGAGTGCTAAGGAGCCAAAGCAATCTATTATGTTTTTGTTCACTCCAGTATCTGCAATGTACTAGACATTTGTGCTATGACGAACATGAAAAGCTATTAAGCTTTTCTCTTACATCAGTACAAAAGAGAAAGTAATGCATTTCCTGCCTGTGAAATTAAACATCCTATTACTTTATCATC